GTTATTTTGTATTTTGTTGACAGGGTTTCTCTGTGTAGCCCTGGCTGCCCTGGAACTCGAGAACAGGCTGGCCTCAAACTCACCGCAGAGATCTGCCTGCCTCTGCCTCCTGAGTGCTGGGACTGAAGGCGTGTGCCACAACCAAAGCCTGGCCCAGTTAAGAACATCTGTGGTTCTTGCAGAGGATAGGGTTCCGTTCCCAGTTCCAGGGACCTGATGGAGGTCCTCTTCTGACTTCCAAGGGTACTGCTTACATGTAGAACACATCAGTAGAGAAAAGCACTCATATGCATAAAATAAAAACAAATCTGGGGCTGGGTGGATGGTGGCTCATGAATTTGACCCCAGCACTGGGGAGGCAGAGGCAGGCAGATCTCTGTGAGTTTGAGGCCAAACTGTTCTACAGAGCTAGTTTCAGGACAGGCTCCAAAGCTACAGAGAAACCGAAAAACCAACCAATCAAACAACAACAAAAGACAACTATGTCAGGTATTGTGTACACACCTTTAATCCCAGCACCCAAGAGGCAGAAACAAGTGCATCTCTATGAGTTCAAGGCCAGCCTGCCCTACATGGAGAATTCCAGGTCAGACATGGGCATAGTGAGAGCCTGTCTCAAAAAAAAATTATTTTGAATAAATAACAACTCAAAACTACAACAAAATTAAAGTCAATCAAAGAAAGAAAAATAAATCAAACTGAAAAAAATACATAAAGTACCTTTATAAGCAGGTCGGCCTGGATAGTAGGAAAAACTTTCTGCATATTAATTTTTTGGTTTTTTTTTGAGACAGGAACTCACTATGTAGTCCCGTCTAGTTTAGAATTCAATAGGTAGACCAAGCTGCCCTTGAACTCAGAGATCTGCCTGCCTCTACCTTCTGAGTGTTTGGATTAAAAGTATGTGATAATATACCTTGCCAAAATAATATTTTTTCAGGATTTATTAATGTATGTGAGTGTGTTGTCTGTGGCGTGCATGTCTGTGTGCATGTGGACTATCATATGCCTAGGGCTGGAAGAGTGGAATCTCCTGGAACTGGGAACTGAGTCCAGATCCTCTGGAAGCACAGAGATGCTTTTAACTGCTGGATCATCTCTCCAGCCTCTACCTCTTAAAATTACAATAGAAGAATCCTGAATTGTCACCAGGCAGGCTTGGTGCTCAAAATCTTGGACACTTGGGAGACTTGAAATATGATAATTTTTTATAAGATTTATTTACTTATGTGTACAGCGTTCTGTCTGCAAGTATGCCTGCAGGACAGAAGATGACACCAGATTTCATTACAGACAGCTGTGAGCCACCATGTGGTTGCTGGGGATTGAACTCAGGACCTCTGGAAGAGCAGTCAGTGCTCTTGACTTCTGAGCCCGAGATATTGAGGCTAGTATGAAGAAAAATGGAAAGATGTCACAGGAAGGTTCTTACACACATACACTCCAACTCTCATTTTTATCATTTTTTATTATTATTATTTTTTCTTGAGACAAGGTCTCAAGAATTGAAGCCATGGCTAGCCTAGAACTCAGTTTTTAGACCAGGCTGCCCTCAAACACACTAGCCTCTGCTTCCTGAGTGCCTGTCTTTTATGGTTTTGAAACAGAGTGCCACTATGTAGCCCAGGCTGACCTAAGCCATTCAATTTTGATACCTCAGCCTCATAGAGGCTGGCATATTAGACTGTGACACCACACCATACTTTGTGACACCACACCATACTTTAGCCCCTAATTTCATTGCTGTGTCTTTTGAGCTAGGATCTAAATACGTAGCCAAGGCTGGCTACAAACAGGCAGCAATACTCCTGCCTTGATCTCTCATCGGTGAGATTACAAGTGTGCTACTACCTCCTGGCCTGCCCTTCATTTTATTGAAACAATATCAGGGACGATAGAGAAGGTTGAGCAGTTAGTATTTTTGCTCTATCAGGGGACTGGAGTTTCAGTCCTCAGCAACTACATCAGCAGCTTGGAAAAATGCCTGTAGCGACAATTTTAAGGTATCAGATGCAAGATGCCCCCTTCTGGTTTCTATGAACACCTGTACACACGCATGTACAGCAATAAATCTTTAAATAAATCTGCATTACATTTTACATTGATTTGTAAGTGTGTGGCATACTCTTGCCACCACAGAGGACAACTCCTGTGGTTTGCTTCTCTTTCTATCATGTGGATTCCAGGGATGGAACTTGGTTTTTCAGGTTTAGCAGCAAATGCCTTTAGCCTGCAGACCTATCTTCTGTGCACAGATGGTCATTCAAAAGGTTTTTTTTTGTTTTGTTTTGTTTTTGAGGCGTCCCCAACAATTTTATTATAAACAGAAACAAGACTTTCTCCTGGTTAGTTGTCAGTGTATCATCTTTGTTTAGCTGAGCTCTGCTCAGTTTTAGGGTACCCCCGATTTTCCCAGGAGGAGATGGTCACAGGTCTTCTGTTGTTTCAAACGGTGAGGACCGTTGCTTTGGAAACAGCTTCTGTCTTCCCAGTGCTTCAGGGCTCTTGTGGGCCTGGGAAGCTCTTACCCCAGCTCACCCCAGCAGCCTCGGAGCCTTAGGGCTCTACAGCAGTCAATCCAGTTGAATTGATTCATGGTTCCAGAATGATCTTCCTTGTTTTTTCATGGATAGAGAGGCAGCATCTAGAATTGCATCCCATTCTTATCATTATGACCCAGGCATGGTTATTCAGAATGGAGGCTAAATTTTCTTCTGGTCTCTCTTTAAATTTACTTCTTTAAAATTATGTGTGTCTATGTGTCCACCAATCCAGGTGCCTGAGGCAGCAAGAAGTCTATTCCCTGTGGCTGGAGTTACAGGCAGTTCTGAACCACCCAATGCTGGGTTTGGGACTTGAACTCCCAGTCCTCTTGAAAGACTACAGAACCATCTCTGCAGCTTTCATCCGTTTCTTGAGAGGTCTCATGTGGCCCAGGCCTTGAACTTCTGTGGATCCAGGGTCCATCTTCTTTTTTTCCACCTGGGTACAATCTACACAGTGAAATTTTATACACACCGTAGATGGCATTTATTTGTGTATTTTACTCATGCGTTAATCTGACCTAGGGTCTCAGTCAATCTCCTGCCTCAGCTCCTGCTGAATTATAATGGGTACGTTACCACGCCCATCTTAAATGACATTTTTAAAAACTTTGAGAGCAGCCTTTCCAGGTCATCCTTCACAGAGCCTTTGAGTTCCTCCCCTAGAACAGCCTGGGGCACCACCCAGATGGCCTAGGGGCGGTCAGTGGGTCACCTCCTCTTAACAGCTGCCTGGGCTCCCACTAAAACACAGTAACCGGCCCCTCGGACGATCAGAATTCAGATTCGTTTATTTCCACACGTCCAACTACACAACTGTGCGATACTTCGAGGTCGGTCTCAGCTTTGCAGAATCCTAGAGAAATGCAAAGGAAAGGGAAAGGGAAAAAAGGGTGGTGGTGGAGGGGGGGACCCTAGCTCTCCCGGGCAGTGGCCATCAGCCTCCAAGAGGCAGGGATTCCGAATGAAGTCGTTTTTTCTTTTTTTTTTTTTTAAATAAACGGAAGAGTCGTTCTGCGCTCCTCGCCCGGGAGGTTCCAAAGGTCGTCACACGGAGGCCTGGGGGCGATCGTCTCCCCCGCGGCCGGAGCGGGGGAGGAGGGTGGTGGGAGGAGGGGAGGTGCACACAAAAGCGGGCCGGGCCAAGAGGGCTAATGTTTCCTGTTTGCCTGGAACCCCCTCCCCGGCCTCCCCTCCCCCACCCCTCCCAGCACTCGGGCGGAAGTGAGTTTGCTCCTTTGGAGATTAAAAGGATTCCGAATTCCGATCAGTCCCAATAACCGGCGTTCCGAGAGGCGGCAAAGCGGAGAAAGGAGGGAACACGCGCGCGCACGCTGCCCCCCGTTCAGGGGAGTTGTGCAAAAATAAAAACCCAAAGCAACCCAGGAGATCAGGGCCCCGGGAAAGCCAGGACCCGGTAGGCGCAGCGCAGCCGGGGCCACCCGCGTCCCCGCTCGGCGACTCGTTTGCAGGAGGATGACGCAGGCGGGAGCCGCGGGCGGCGTTGGCCACGCGGCTCCTGAAGTGGCCGCGCGGGTCCCTCGCTTGCTCCTCTGATTCCAGCACGCCCGGGAGGGAGGCTCGGTCCCTGAGGCTCCGGGATTGCAGGGGGGACCCGAGCGAGGGCGAAATGGCCCGATGACAAAGGAAATGTGATCCCCCTTCGCTGCCCAGGTTTCGGAGAGGACGGCCGTGAGGAGGAGGGGCGCGCGCCGCGCGCGGAACGCGGATAGCATTGCACGACGGCCCCGCGCGGGGCGGCCGCCGGGTACATCCAATATCTTCCCGCCGATGAATAATTCAGGGCGGCCCGCGGGGACCTGCGGCCCCGCGCCGCGGAGCGCCTGAGGCCGGAGAAGGGTCGGAGCGCGCGCCACCCAGAGCCAGGAGGCCCGGGGACACGCGGGCGCCGGGCCGCGTGGGGCGCGCGTGCGTGCGAGCGCACAGGGACCGCGGCCCGGCCGGGCTGCGCAGAGGCGCGGAGTGCGTGGGGCGCGCGTGCGTACTTGGCACGCGTGCTTCCGCGGGCGGGCCGGGGCCCCCGCACGAGGTGCAGCTGCGCGCTCGAGCCGACCGCGCCGCGGGGGAGGCTGCGCTTCGGCCGCCACGCAGGAGCTGCTGCCGCCGCGTCATGCGGCGGGGCGGCCGGCGCCGCGCGCGGGGACTCGGGCTGCTGCGACTTCGGGGCGTTTTCCCCTCCCTCCAGGAGACTCAATCCGTGTAGCCCGGGGCAAAAGAGAAAAAAAGTAGCACGCGCAAGAGTCGTCAGGACCATTTTTTTTTTTTTTTTTGAGCGGCGGGGGACTGGATTCCACGGCGGACTTTGGGACTTGGGCGGGCGCTCGCTTGCTGCCGAGTGGCGGTGCATGCCCGCCGCGCCGAGGTGGCCTGGGGGTCGCCTCCACCGCGCCCTCGATGCGCTCTGCTGAGTGAGCCGCGCGCCCTCCTCCTCCTCCTCCTCGCCGCGCGCCCTCTTCCCTCCGGCCCGCCTGCAAATGGCTTCGTTCCCCGAGACCGACTTCCAGATCTGCCTGCTGTGCAAGGAGATGTGCGGCTCGCCCGCGCCGCTCTCCTCCAGCTCGTCCGCTTCGTCGTCTTCGTCGCAGACGTCCACGTCGTCCGCGGGAGGCGGCGGCCCCGGGGCGGCGGCGCGGCGCCTGCACGTCCTGCCCTGCCTGCACGCCTTCTGCCGGCCGTGCCTCGAGGCGCACCGGCTGCCCGCTGCCGGCGGCGCCGGCCCCACCGAGGCGCTCAAGCTGCGCTGCCCCGTGTGCGACCAGAAAGTGGTCCTGGCCGAGGCGGCGGGCATGGACGCGCTGCCGTCGTCCGCTTTCCTGCTCAGCAACCTGCTGGACGCCGTGGTGGCTACCGCCGACGAGCCGCCGCCCAAGAACGGGCGCGCGGGCGGCGGCCCCGGGGGCGCGGGCGGCCACAGCAACCACCGGCATCACGCGCACCACCCGCCCCAGCGCGCCGCCGCTCCGGCCCCGCAGCCGCCGCCCGGCCCGGCCGCCTCCCCCGCCGCGCTCCTGCTGCGCCGGCAGCACGGCTGCAGCTCGTGCGACGAGGGCAACGCCGCCTCGTCGCGCTGCCTCGACTGCCAGGAACACCTGTGCGACAACTGTGTCCGCGCGCACCAGCGCGTGCGCCTCACGAAGGACCATTACATCGAGCGCGGCCCGCCGGGGCCCGCGGCCGCCTCCGCGGCGCAGCAGCTGGGGCTCGGGCCGCCCTTCGCCGGCGCGCCGTTCTCCATCCTTTCGGTGTTCCCAGAGCGGCTCGGCTTCTGCCAGCACCACGACGAAGAGGTGAGTTGCGCGTGCGACGCGGGCGAGGGAGCGGACCCCGGACCCTTTTTTTGCAGACTTGTGTCGTCCCCCTCCCCTCCCAGCTTTCCTTAGACAACCGCGACCTGACGACATCTTCCTTCTCTGGGCTTGTCCGAAGAGACCCAAAATGTTAGACTCCCTCCCTTTTTTTTAGGTCGTGCGCGCGCGCGTTTGTTTGTGTTTGCCTTTTGCTAGACAAGTCTACCCGTGGGATAGACTCGCAGCCCCTGGATTTTGATTTTTTTTTCTTATTTATCTTTTTTTTTTTTAAACATTTATTTGCATCCATGTGTGGAGGTCAGGACAGCTTTCAGGAGTCGGTTCTCTTGTCCCTTATCTTCTGGGACCCGGGGATCGAAGTAGGGTCTTTGAGGTTTTGAGGCAAGTGCCCCTTAACCAGTAAGCCATCTCGCCAGCCCAGCTTCATCTCATCTCTATTTTTTTCTCCTGTGTGACAAAATGTGTAGTTGGCGCGTGCAGTTGGGCAGGAGTTTGGAGGAGATAAGTGTGTTTGTGGAGTCGTGGACTCCTTTTGTGTGGGCCCGCCAGAGGCCGCCCTTCGTGCTGAGGGCTCTCCGGGGTGGGAAGGGATGGCTGGGTACGGACTTGCTTCTCACGTGTGTGCTGGGCCGGAGGACTTGGGTCTGGCTGGCATCTGCACGGGTTGGCATTCACCAGGTTGTCTGTCCGGTTGTTGGTAAAAAGCCTGTGGACTTTTTGGAACTGAGGGACCCCGGTGTTGAGTGCCTAATTTTGCTTCTAGGGTTGTTTTACGTACTGTGTAAATCCTGTTCTGGTTGGTGAGCACCCACGTGCAATGACCATGTGGCCTCGTGGGGGCCCCTGAGAGAGCTAGAAGCCAGATTGGGGCCACCGCAGTTGGATCTCTGGCGCTGTTCCCAAGCTGGCCCCATCTCCCATCCCGCGGGGACCCGGTCGCCACCCTCCCCATCCTCCACTCGGCAGGTCGAGCCTGGGGGTGTGCGGAATCTGAGGGCTGCGCTGCTGCCCTCGGACCTGATCATCTCTTTGGGCTCTTGGTTTTTTTCTTTTTTTTCCTTTTCTCCACTTGGATGTACTGGACCGTCACCGCTTATTAATAATATTATTCTACCCACTGGAAGGTAGCAGAGGTTGGCGGACCACCCTTGATGGGTTGGGAGCCTGGTCTAACTGCCGGTAAATATGAGACCCACGTGCGATCGCAGTGGTTGGTGTTGCACTGGCTGGGGGCAGGGCAGGGGACAAACAAGGCTTTCGCCATCCCGCGTGACTCACAGTGGGACTGCGGGCACCGCCGCAGCGGGGGGGGGGATTTGGGGAGGAGGCTTAAGTTGGAAAAATTAATTCTAACGCGGGGAAATTACTTTTTATAAAGGATTCTTCTGAAGTGCACTTGGTGGTTCACTTCGGTCTTCAGCCCTGGGTCTCGACTCCCTTTTTCTCACATTCCTGGTTTGGTGTTTCTAGCATGTTCTTCAGTACTTTTTAGAAAACCCCTGAGCCAATTTTTCACTGGCAGACTAGGGTCAAATTCGAGGACGAGGCAGAGAAGAAAGCCCCTGAGTCCGGGTTTGTTTTCCTCCACGGAGGGAAAGAGTTGAAATGCCCCCTTTTTGGTTTTCCTATTAATTTTTAGTCAGAGATGTTCCGTGTGGGCAGAGGCCGTAGGCGTTTGGTGCTGGCTGCTTGATAGGGTGACTGTAACTCCCTGTGTGTGTTTATTTCGAGATAGGGTCTTTTCTTTAGCCTAGGCTGGCCTGGAACTGTGTAATCCACCCAGTTATTTATTCTCCTGCCTCAGCTTCCCAAATGCTCAAACCACAGATTTGAGCAAGCCACCATGACTGGCTTCACTTAAGAAGACAAAACGTTTTTGAGTAAGCTGAGAAAATAATGACGAGTCCCTCGATGGCGTCTTCGCATGCGTGTCTTCCTAGCTGCCTCCGTGACCAGCTCCCTTGCTTAGTTTTTTTTTTTTTTTTCTGCTTTTGTGTCTTAAATGCCTAGCTTGTGTTTTTCCTTTGTGGTCCTATCTGTCCCCATGTTTTTGTCTTTTGAGACAGGGTTTCTTTCTCTGTGTAGCCCGGGCTGTCCTGAAACTCACTGTGTAGACCAGGCTGGCCTCAGACTCAGATTTCACCCGCCTTTCCTCCCAGGTGTCTGTGTCCCCATCTTTGAAGCCCCTTAAGCCCCCACACAGGAAAAGTCGGGCTTTTCCCTCCTAAGGGGATGGCCCTAGTTCCCATTCATTTCCCTGCAGATGACATGACTTCAGTATTATTGCATTTGAACCATGTGGGAGATACCTGGGTCTTGTCTTGCCCAGATGCCTTAAAAGTCCCTTTTAACACTCGTGGTGGTGGGCAGGAAGCAGTAAGATGTGAGGCTGTTGAAGGGAACAAGTTTGCTTAGTCTCTCTTCAAGATTCTACTTTCTCCGTTTTCCATTAAAGCAAAAAGCTTAGAAATGGTTAGATGCTTACTCCTCCTTCTGGGGTGTGGTGGCGGCAGACCAAGTCCTCCTTTTCCCTCCCTGTGGAAGTGATCTCCCAGGGAATCAGGAAGTGGGTCCTTTAAAGTCATTGCCTCTGGCCTGGGCTCCTTTTGGGGGATGGGATGATTGATAGATGGGCTGCTGTCCTCCCTTTGGGGGGGCGGTGATAGATGGACCCCTGCCTTGACTTTGATATGCAGAATAATACCTCCATGTTTGAAAACTACTCTGTTTTTGCTGTGTCAGCAATTTGGGGTGTCTTTTACTTCTGTGGGGACTGATATGGCTGGAGTGCCTTGTCAATTACCCTTCTTTCGGTAAGGGGGCCAGATGACTGACCACACAGCTTCCCCAGGGAGATGGCCTTGGGTATCCCTCCCCCAACTCTGAATTTGGAAACTGAGGTAAGATGTTTGAACATTTTTGGCTCAAATAAATTACAAGAATCTGAGCCCAGCCATGGATGGGCTACACCTGCAATTCTAGGATGAGACAGGAGCATGACTGTGAGTTTAAGGCAAGCTTGGGCTACAAAGTGAGACCTTGTCTCAAAAAACTGAAAGGAAATAAAAGAAAAAGGCATTTGGGTTTCCCAGCAAAGGGAGACCTGCTTGCTTGGGCTTTTGCCTAGTTCTGAGCCTGGGAGCCATCCATCCCTGTGTGCCTTCAGGGATGGGGTAGAGGCTTCTGATGCTAAGGCAGTTCCCCATGGCCACAGGTCCTGAATCCCATAGTGCCTTGTGAAGAGCTCACTGCTGTTTTTCTGAGGTGTGCCGCTGAGCTGGCTGCTACCACCACAGCCTACCAGTGAGCCCTTTGCTTTCTTTAGAAGCCACTTTGGGAAGGAAATCTGTGTGTCCTAGGGCTGGGCAGCAAACTTGGTTAGAATGGCAGGACTCCTGGGGAGGGGCCTGCAGGGGACAGGTAGGTCGCATCATGATCCCAGGAAAACAGCATGATGGCAGCATTATTATTATTGGAGATAGGGGAGGGCTGGCTGGGACTTTGCAGAAAATAAACTCTGGAATTTAGGACTGAAGGTGGGTGGAGGTCGTCGTGGAGTTTATCCAGCCTGAAACTGGGTTCTGGAAAGATCCAGGATTAGTTCCAGCTCTTGCCTTGCACTTTGAACAAGGCAGTTTACTGTCTAAAGTAATTGGTTGTGTGAGTCCTTATCTCCCATCTTAGAGTGAGCATCATGCCTGCATTCTGCATTGCTGTTGTTAGTTAGCATTCTCAGGATTGAAGCTGCCTTTAGTGTGCAGGTACTCTCTCTCTCTCTCTCTCTCTCTCTCTCTCTGTGTGTGTGTGTGTTTTATGTGAGTTACATAATCTAAGCAAAATGGCTATTTAAAACCTTACAATTTTGTTTCTCATTTATAGTTGAATGTCAGAGTAGATGGTTCCTTTTCCCCTCTCCTCGGTCTTAGTCAGCCAGCATCGTCCATGTTGGTCTCAATTAGTCCTGATCCTCACCAGGCCAAAGGGTGCTGGGATTACAGTCTCCAAACCAAACCCTTCTCTGTAAAACCCCCTACCTGTCTACATCCATCCACCTCTGGGGGTCAGGTTGTCAGTGAATGTAAGAACTTGGTGAGCACTTGCTGACTGCTAAACTGTGGAATATTTATTGAAATGCACAGAGAGCAGGATATTATCTTCCATGCTTTGCAAGTCCATGCAGGGTGATAAGGTTGCCCCAGGTTCATGAAAGGCTGTGGACTGGAATGAACTGAGACTGTGGGATCTGCATAGTGTGGGGGACCTCTGTGTATATGTTTCTGAAGTTGTTTGAAGGAGGAGGAAAAAAAAATCTCTTTTTGAAATTGCATGGCCATGATAGTTTATAAAAATTGGTGTTCAGTGTTTGGATTATGTATGGGTTATCAGTGAAGGTATTGTAGGGGAAGAAGGAAGACTTACAGACTTCACTTGCCATTTTTCAGAGTCAAACGTTTAGTTGAATCTGGAATAGAGAAACCTTGAAGGAACTTTCTCTCTTACCCTGGTGGTCTCTTTTATTTTAGTCATATACATACTAGTTTTTAGAAGACTCCTGGCCCTTCAGACTCAGGAGGCTACAGTGTCTAGTTTGTTAAAGACACCCCTTTAAAATGGTTGCAACTTTCTCCTGAATGCTTGAGCCAGTTGCAGAGTCTACCTCTTAGCTTTTTTTTTTTAAAAACTTTCTTTGTTATCACTGTTTTAGATGCCTGTTTTTATTCTAACTAGAGAGAGAGAGAGTATGTATGGATTTGGATGGGTGGGGAACAAGGGAGGGTCTGGGGAGATTTAGGTGAGGGGGATCAGTAATGAGGACATAGTGTATGGCAAAAAGTCTAACAATAAAAAAAAATAAATACATTTTTGAAGAGAAAGAAAAGACAGGCTGGAGAGATGGCTCAGTGGTTAAACTGGCTGCTTTTTAAAAAATTTTCTGTTCATTGATTGGTGTTTGGCCTTCACGCGTGTCTGTGTGAGGG